CGCCCCGGCTCCCCTGGGCCGGTGTCCCCGCTCCTGCTGCAGGGATGCTGCACGGGGAAGGGAGCAGAGGCAGCCCCGTGGTTTCGGGAGGGATCACAGCGGCTTTTTGGGACAGGGTGACACTTGGACGTGGCTGGGGACAGCCTTAGGGCTACGGAAACTTTACGTGTTAGGAAAACTTTTGTGCCCCTCCAGTAAAACCAGGGAGCACCCAGCCCCTCCTTCCAGAGCATCCCCCTGCTGAGCTGCGGCCACAGCTCGGGCTTCTTGTCCGAGTCATGCGCTGCATTAAGCAAGGGCCAAACCACAGTGATCGAGTGGAAACATTCAGCGGAGTCAGAGCATCCTGCCCGCTGGAATCACACCCTTCCTCCTCCCAGCCCTGCACCGGGACCAACCTCATGTCCTGGTGCAGGAAAATCCCCCTGGTTTCCCTGCAGACCCGGCTCTTGGCTCTGGGTTCTTGGAGGCCCCGCTGCTAATTGCCTGGCTGAGGTTTATCCTCGTTATAGGGGCAGGTTCCCACACACCATCACTGAGCTCATCTCCCTGCAGTGCCTTCTCCATCCCATCGCAGCCAGGAAGGACCGGGAAAGCCACGAGCCTCCCGTCACTGCCAGCACCGTGGCCCCAACAGCAGAGCGGTGACAGGGTCCTTGGGGACACACACCCCGCTGGTGGCAGCGCCGATGGGGAAGGCAGGACCAGGGCAGGGACAGGCTGTGCCTCGAGCTGGCCTGGGGCTGAGCTGCCTCCCCCGATTCCCTCGGCAGCCCCGCCGGCGATGCGAGCGATGGCAGACCAGGCTGCCGCCGCGCTGGACTCCTCTCCGGCCCCGACCCCGTCCCCAGGCTCCCCCCGGCGCGGGGACACCGATGGGTTCACGCCGCTCCCCACCGACCCCAAGGAGGACAACGGCACCCGGGATGGCTGCGGGCTCGTTCCCACCGGGGACAGGGACACGAAACGTGCCCCCTCTCCCCAGCCCGGGGGGACGATGCTCCTGGCTGATCTCCCACGGGCTCCCCAGCCCCGGTTCAGCCCGGCCAAGTCCCGCACAGCCCCGTCCTCCCCGAGCGTCTCCCCCTCGGAGAGCCGGGCTGCCCTGCTGCGGCTGCGGGAGGCCAGGCTGGAGGACACCAAGAGGCGGCTGTCGGAGGCCGGGCGGGAGCCGCTCAGCCGGCTCAGCCGGCTCATGGCCGAGGAGAGCAGCCCTGCGCCCCGGGGGAAGGCGGGTGCCGGGGGGCCGGAGGAGGGGGGCAGCCCCGGGGCTGGGGGACGCCGGGTGAGGGACTGGAGCCCTTGGGAGCCCACCCTGAACTGCCGCTATGAGATCTGCTCCTACGGGGACATGATCCAGGTGGTGGAGGTGGCTCAGCCGGACGCAGAACCGCGGCTGCCCGCCCCCGAGGAGCCGCCGGCGGCACAACCGGGGGCCGCGGTGCCGGGCAGGGCTCTGGTTTCCATCGCCCTCCTGGCCTACGGCTACTTCATCCTGCCACTGCCCCCCTACGCCGCGGGGCTCTGCCTGGGGCTCATCTGCGGGCTGCTGCTGGGCTTCCTCGCCATCCTCCTCCTCATGCCAAAGCTTCCGTCGGTGGCACAGGGACCACGGGGCCACCCGCGCCCCAAGCTGATCCTGGGGGAGCCGCAGGAAACCCATCACCTCCAGGTAGGAGAGGTGTGGTCCAGGATGGGGTGCTGGGTGGAGGGGAGCCCGGGGCTGGGGGTGCAGCCCCGAGGGGGTGCCAAGCCCAGGCGGGAGCCGGTTGCGCACAGCGGGAAGCAGCCGGCGCCCTCTGCCCCTACCCAGGGCTGGATGAACCAGCTGCACAGCTACGACCCTGAGCTTTTCCACCCCTCGCTGACGCACTCGGTGCTCGCCACGCTGGATGGGGCCACCCTCAAGCTCTCCTACCCCAAGAGCAACATCCCACGCCGAGCCACATTCGAGGAGGAAATCCTGGACGCCGTCTTCGTCAGCCACCGCTGCTACGACCTGACTGATGCCAAAGTGAGCCTGGCAGTGCCAAGGACCTTCCTGCAGGAGCAGGGGACTCTCCCCGTGTGGGAACCCCTGGCACCCCGGCCTCATTGCCACTCCTGGTGTTGCAGGTCTTGCTCTGCCCCCCCAGCCTGGCCCGGAAGAGGACGTGGAACAAGAAATACCCCATCTGCATCCTCCTCCCCGACCCAGCAGAGGTGGAGTGCAGGAGCAGTGAGGAGCACAACCCGGAGCTGCAGAGGGATGAAGGGATGAAGAAGGGGCCAGTGCCAGGGCAGGATGTCCCAGGGGATTCCAGGGAGAGGTGTTTGTACCTGTTTGGGCGGACAGGGAGGGAGAAGGAGGAGTGGTACCAGCACCTCGTGCGAGCGGGACCAGGGACACCCAGCAGCACCCATGGTGAAGGCAGGGCAGGTGAGATGTGGCCACCGTGGCCTCTGCTCTGTGCTGGGACTGATGTAGGTGGGAGCCACACGTGTGCTGGGAGGACAAGGCCTGGGGGGGCAGCAGGGGGGGATGCAGAAGCACAGAGCATTGGCAGCAGCAGGGAGAGCCTGGAGGATGCCCCTCACCACCAGCATAGCGTCCCCCTCAGCCACCCCATAGGGTGGGTGGCTTGTCACTGGCAACGTGGATGGGCAGCGTGTCACCTGTCATGCCATCATGAACCACTCGTGTCCCTGTGTCCCCAGGCACGGGACTGGCTCCACAGAGCAGCGGCAGCAGCAGCGGAGGGAGCGCCGAGGACATCCCCTCTGCCATCCCACCCAAGGACCTGGCAGGAAGTGTCCAACAGATTTTCCTGGATTACAGCACCTACATGGCCCGATTCGTGCCAGCGCAGGCAGGGGGCAGCCCGGACCACAGCCCCTCTCATGGAGTGAGGAGCAGCCCCACACCCACCAAGGTGAGTGGGACAAATCCGGCACCAGGAGCAGGACACAACCCTACGTGCTGCCTCTTCCAGCCCCCTGGTTCCTCTCGTCTCTCCTGTGGTTTGAGCAGCCAAGCCGTGGTGCAGGGGAGCAGGTCCCACCTTGCTCCAGGGGCTCGTGGCTTCTTTCCCTCCGCAGCTCGGCGAGGAGCAGGCCGGGCACGGGGAGACATCCATGGCCTGGATGAACGCCCTGGTGGGACGCATCTTCTGGGACTTCCTCCGGGAACAGTACTGGGCAGAGCAGGTGTCCAGCAAGATCCAGAAGAAGTTGAGCAAGATCAAGGTGAGAGGCAGGAGTGTCAAAGCACTGGCGGGAGCTCGATGCCGAGGCAGGTGCCAGGCTGTGGTGACCATCCCTATGTGGTTTCCCTCCATCAGCTCCCATATTTCATGAATGAGCTGGCACTGACAGAGCTGGACATGGGCACATCCATCCCCTCAGTCCTCAGTGCCTCCAACCCCACTATGGATGACCGAGGTAAGAGCCCCAGAGGGTGGCTCCACAGCTGCAGTTACGGAGGTGCCAGGCAGGGAGGTTTCAGCAGGGAGGTTTCAGCAAGCACAGCAGCAGTCCTCAGCCCCCGTGGTGCTGACAGGGGCTCACTCCATCCCTCTCCCTGGCAGGGCTCTGGGTGGACATGGAGGTCACCTACAGTGGCTCATTGCAGATGACACTGGAGACAAAGATGAACCTCTGCAAGCTGGGGAAGGAGAGTGCTGCAGAGGAGAGCGGCCAGGCAGAGGCAGGCGGAGAGGGGTAAGGGGACTGCTCAGCTGGGGTTCATCCTCCTCCTCCTCTGGTCTGAGTGAGGTGAGTGGGTGCTGGCTCTGGGGCACCCCCTGA